CTATGAGTCAGGGCTGACTCGACGGCACATAACAACAACAACAACAACGCTTTCCCAAATTTCTTTTTATTTCTTTTTTTGCAGAAATTCTAGCTACTCTGAGAGGTCATTCTGGTTTGGTGAAAGGGTTGACTTGGGACCCTGTTGGTAAATATATTGCCTCTCAAGCTGATGACCGCAGCCTGAAGGTGTGGCGGACGCTGGACTGGCAGTTAGAGACCAGCATCACCAAGCCTTTTGATGAGGTAACGAGAGACAGCCCAAAGCTTGGGCTAGGCAGCCTGGCAGATGCCCCAAAGGGGTTTGGCAGCTGTTCCAGCTTTTTTCCTATATTTGTGCCACAGGAGGCATTGTCTCAGGTCCAGGTCACTTAGGAGCAGACTCCCTGAAGGCTATGACCTGACAGAGGCCAGGGACCTGGGTGGGCTAGTCATGGTTTTCTATAGTGAACACTCAGGCCCTACGAGGTAGATGATGGGAATCTTGATTCTGAGTAGCTGGTAAAGCTCTAATTTTGAAGTGAAAAAGATCTGTGGATTTTCAAGTTGAAGAGAACCTTAGGGATATTACCTCATTACCATGTTGCATGACCAGCTGTGAAGACATGGATAAAGTTGTTTCTTATTGTGCAGCTTTTACATTATACCACACTTCAGAGTGGTTTGTGTGTGTGAGGGGAGAGGTAGACACACTCTTACCGTAATTTTCCTGATGGCATGTGTGGCTTGACTTGGGGACTTCCACTCTGCAGTGTAGCCTACTTCTTTCTTCGGTGGAGTTAGTTGTTGGCAAAATGTTTGGAGAGCAGACCGTAGTGACTTTTGTAGTATTTTGTTGTCTCTCCCTTTATTTGAGTGGTGATATATGGAGTCAGAGCTCAAGACCGCCATTATTCATTAGACGTTTACTAAGTGCCTGCTGTACACAAGGCAGTACTAGAGGCAATGAAATAAAAGTGGATGAAGATGGTCAGTCTCCTTGAACCTTAAAGCCCAGTGGGAAAGACAGACATTCAGGTCAGTTAAGTATGGTAATGGGATTGGCCTGAATGTGCGGAACAGTGCAGGAGGGCTGACTACATCAGGAATGACTTCTCAGAGTTTTGCCAGATGTATAGACATCTGCCTACTTGTCAGGACTGACAATGTGGATTCACTTCTCCCCATACCAGCACTAGTTTCTGGACTGGGTTTATTAGCTCCAGTATTTGCCTTTCTTGGCCCTGTCCTCCTTAGCTATGGCTGCCTGGAACAGTGGACCTTGGCCCTTATACCTCTGGCCTTCCTCAGGGCTTTGGCTACCAGATAGTGGGGATCCCAGAATTGAGCTTCTGGAGACAGTGTGCGTGACGGGGCTGGGAGTGGTTGGGTACCACCAGCAGGAGCCAGCAGTGCTTGTCAGCCTCAGTGGATTGGGCCCAGCCTCTGCTGGGGGTCTGTGGCCCAGGCTGGAAGGTGAGGCAGGTAGTCTCACTACGCTCCAGTCCTGTCCTATCCTGCTGTCATCTGGGGCTGTGAGGTCAAGATCTCAACCCCTATGTCTTTAGGGTTGCCCTGCGCAGAACTTCAGGGGACTGGTTTTTGGCCCATATCATCTTGCTTTGCTGGAGGAGTAATGGAAAAGGATGCTTTGTCCCTGGCCTTAGCCCAAGTTAGGGTAACAGTGCCTTTCTGCTGTGCGTTTTGCAGCTGTTAAGGATTTTACTAATCTCTTCACCTTTGCTGGTAATGTCCCCATTCTTCAGGTGAGGAGATGGGCTTGAGAGCAGGTGGTACACTCACAGTCAGTGGCTACATTGCAGAGTAAGGCCCAGTCCAGGTTCTGAGTGCAAACAGGGCTCTTTCCACACTGCAGTATTTCTCAGGGAAAGCTTTGCAGTGGCGTACTTTGCAGAAGGTCAGAAGCCAGATAAATTAGGCAGACACAGAATCAGCAGTTAAAAGGGGCTTTCCTGCCTGTCCTCAGTACCTGTATCTTGTCCTGGTATTCACTGTCAGACTCTTGTAGGGGAGGGCAGGATGCTGCAGTTCCCAGAGAGCCCTGAAGAGGCTGAAGTTACAGCTGCCGGTATAATATAGAAGCTGGGAGTGTGGGAGCGCGTGTTCCGCTGCTGTGTGTTTGCAAATCAGAGTTTTGACTTTATTCTTGAGGTCAGAATTTTGGTCATAGACTTGGCCTTGAGCTCCTTTCAAGCCATAGCTTGTTTCTTTCAGTGTGGAGGGACAACCCATGTGTTACGGCTCAGCTGGTCACCTGATGGGCACTACCTGGTGTCTGCTCACGCCATGAACAACTCCGGCCCCACTGCCCAGATCATTGAACGGGAGGGCTGGAAAACCAACATGGATTTCGTGGGGCACCGGAAAGCCGTGACCGTCGTGGTGAGTGTGCCTGGCCTTGGGAAGTTCTGGCAAGTGTTCGGGCACAAGATGGTTGGTTGGCAGCACTGCCTTGAGCATCCTGCTGCAGCCAGCCTGCGTGTGTTCTGAGAGCCTGTCGAGTGCCTTGGTCTCTGGAAAGGCTTGTCAGGGCCACAGCCTCCCCCAGTCTGGGTCACCCATGGGGATAGAGTGATGGGCTCTAAGAGTCTGTATACATTACTGCATTTTAAATGTTTGTGTTTAAATATACGAAAATTAATTTTACAAAATAGATCGTATACCTGTTTTATTGGGAAATTTAACATGATATATATCACCAAAGTCAGTCTTTGATGAGGAACGTCAAGTCTGTTCGTGGGTCCATATGTACAGTGGTGCTGATGAACCTCCCACTCGCCAGGCGCAGGTTCTGAATGTGTCTGCCCAGCATGTGTGCTTAGCCCATGACCATGGCCGTCACTTGTGGGTGGAGAATCCCTGCTGGAGATCACCAGGTTCATTTCCTAGTGCACGTCTGCTGGCCTGGTCTCGATACGGAGGGAAAGGGGCCAGCAGATGTGAGCCTCAGCAACTTTTCTGTGAGAGAGAGCTTCTTACCAACCCCCCTTACGCTTCAGGACGTGTTAATTGAAGAGTGTCCTGAGAGTGCCCGAGACAAGCTGTTACTGTGTTTACAGATAATCTTTGAAAACCAGGATTTTCTTAAAGTGGGCAACCAGAACAGAATAAGCAGACTGAGAAACTGAGGTTGGTCAAATCGAAGGGTCATTCAGAGCCTGATCTCAGTTCTTTGATCAAGCATCAAACATCTTCATCGTTCAATTATATGAATCAATAATAATCAGGATCATAGATTGTGACTTCAAATACACATTTGTTTTCAGTTTTTTGTGCTGGGACCATTTAGGATTTTGTTTGGAACCAAGGCCTTGTTGCTAAAGTGTTTGGAAGTCACTGCATCACAGTGGGCACAGGGCTCCTGCAGGACTTGCTCACGCAATCCTTATAACTCATCTAAGAAACAACTGTCAGATTGCGACACCTGCTTCACAGAGGGGTGCTGCAAAGCTCACAAGGCCTTGCACACCCGTCTGAGTTCCACGTTTTTCAGTCTTTATGTGCCTCTTGAGGAGGTCTGGTGGCACAGTGGTTAAAGTGTTCAACTGCAAACTAAAACATTGGTGATTTAAACCCACCAGCTGCTCAGTGGGAGAAAAGGTGTGGCAGTCTGCTTCTGCTTCTGTACAGATTACAGCCTGGAAAATGCAGTGGGAGCTCTGCTCTCTCTCTCCTATGCAGTTGCTATGAGTTGGAATCGACTCACCAGCAGTGTTTTTCTTTTTTTAAATTTTATTATGATTTAGGTGAAAGTTTATAGAGCAAATTCATCTTTCATACAGCAGTTTGCAAACACTTTGTCTCATGACATTGACTGTAGTCACCCACAATGCAACAGCTCTCCTCCCAGTTCCTCCCCATAGCCCCCTCTTCCCTGTGTCCTTCCCTCCCATGCACTCCTGCCCCCCCGAGCTATCTCCCTGTGCATACACAGTCCTTCTATTCTCCCATGATTGAGCTCTCCAAGGAGTATATCTACCTAATGTAAGTGTTCAGCTCATATGTCTGTCTTTTATTTGTGAATCGACTTACCATCAATGAGTTTTATGTACCCTTGCCATTCCTGTCTGCCCTCTGGGATTAAACCCCACCTACCCACTGAACTTCTGTTAAGAGTGATGGAAATTTCTAGCAATGGTAATGGTGATGCTTGAACAACAGGATGGACGTAAGTAATATCACTGAACTGTGTGTGAGGATTGTTGAGTAGATAATGTATTACCTATGTATTTACACCACACACCCACACACGGGTGCCCGCACGTACGCGCATGCGCATGCATGTGCAAAATTCAGGCCACCCGATAGGAAGCTCTGTTTACTCTCAAGAAGTCACCCTTTTTCTACCCTCAGTGTTTTGGTTACTTTGTGTTGCTCTAACAGAAAATACACGAATGGGTGGTCTTAACAAACAGGGATTTATTCTCTTACAGTGTAGGAAGCTGGAAGTCCGAGTTCAAAGTGCTAAGCTCTAGGGGCTGGGTGAAGCCCCTGGAACTTGGGCTTCAGTTCTGCCTCTTGCTCCCAGCCGACTGGAGCTAGAAGTGTCTCTTCACTCAGGCAGCTGCTAGCTGCTGAGGATGACAAGCCCACGGTTGACAAAGTGGCACAGTCCCCATATTACCACACAACACAGCAAGCCACCAGTTCAAGTGCATGGCAGGCTGCTAAAAGAAGACTCAGCTGCATGTAGGGGCCAGGTGTGCCAAAAAGCTCAAGACCGTTCCCAAAGCTTTTCCATGTATACCGGAAGCAGACCACATCCCTAAAGCAGCTACTCAGCTACTTCCACCGTGGAGGTGATCGCCAGTCTCATCATGGAGAATAACTATAACCAGCTGCCCAGCCACTCAAAACCAGGCCCAGCTAAGTTGACACATAACTTCAGCTATCACACTCAGTCTTCTTGGCTTGGGTATTCCAAGTCTGGGTTGAGAGCTCCCAGCAACTTTCCTTTTAAGAAGGTGACAGGGAGCTTGGTGTGCACATCTAGCCTTTCTAAAACAAAACCCAGGTCACACTGGGGGCAGCTACCTGGGCTGACAAGCAAGTCATTGAGATGGTGCAGGCCCCTCGGACTGACAGCTCTCTGAGGACAATCACAACTGTAAACAACAAACCTAATGAGGGGAGAAGGAATTAAATGACTCACACCTCTTCTGACAGCACCCTTGGTGCCCCCTTGGGAAATGGAGAGTAAGTAGGGCTTTACTGTGAGAGCCCCCTTGCAAAGTCAGCTTCTACCTGAAGCTAGTTCTGCCCAGGCCAGGAGGAGTGCAGAGGGCCCGTCCCATTGGCCCAGCTGTAGGTCCCAGAAGTGGGGAGCTGGTAGCTCCTTACTCATTTGTGACTTTGAGCACATTTTTTGCCTCTCTGATCACCTTGATCATCAATAAAAAGCCTCCTAAGGTTGTGTGAAGATGAAATGTCTACTGAACACCTGGGGCTCAGAATTTCCATGCGGGGCTTCCACCAGTGAGGCGGAGTTTGGTATGTTTCTGATACTTGGACGTGGGCTACACACTTGATGCTTGATTCATTATTTTAATGTTTATGACTTGGCTTTAGAAATTCAACCCCAAAATCTTCAAGAAGAAGCAGAAGAACGGGAGTTCTGCAAAGCCTGGCTGTCCGTACTGCTGTTGTGCTGTGGGTAGCAAGGACCGCTCTCTGTCTGTCTGGGTGAGCACCCCTTCCCCTGGGAGCTTCAGCTGCAGGGGACCTAGGAGGGCTGGGTGAGCGTAGTAGAGCCTGGAAGACCACCCCTTCCGGTCTCTTCTGTCTCCATCCCGCCCTGTTCTCTGGGCTCAGCCCCTCCTTGAAAGCCAGCTAGCTCTTGTCATGACCCCAATAGGAAGTATCGGAGCCTAGACCTTGGTCCAAACTGTGTGTTTGTGCTTCTCAGGTGCCTGAGTCCCAAGGAACCCGAGGCCCAGCCAAGAGAGGCCCCTACTGAGCCCCAGCACTTAGCAGCTGTTGTGTCTGAGCTTGGGGAATGCTTTCAAGAATGGGTGCTATAGTCAGCATGCTGTGTTTGCATCCTTTTAAAAAAGTCTGAGTTTATATATAAACATTCACAGAATACATTCTTCTTAAATGAATTTAATGAATTAATTTAAAATTCTCAGTGAATTTATAAATATCCATATATATTTATACCAGTGTAACCACCACTCTCTAATGTGTCTTCTTGTCCTTCCCAGTCAAGACCCCACCGCCAATGAGACATACGCTAGCAGTTTCTGTCACCATACATGAGTTGTTTGTTGTATTTTTTAATTATTAGATTCTTCAGCTAAGATAGCGGAAGAGATGATTTATTGTGCACATGTTACACTCAGCCAAAACCGAGAGCAGAACTAGTCCAGAATGTCACAGGTCCAGGGCAAAGGATCAAAAGGGACTGACCCGGTACAAGCAAGGTGGGCTTCTCGGAGGCATTCCCAGCGATACAATGCTGATGGGAGTCCTAGATCCACTGAGCAGAAACTCTAGACAGTAGCATGCAGTCAACAACTTGTCCCAGCGCCCCCAGCCTCCAGCATTCCATATCCTGTTGCTGTGGTTTTCGTGGGTGCACACGCTAGAGTTGACTTGGACCTCTGCCTCATCTTTCTTTTGCACTTCAGCCTGTGCATTCCCGTCTTCCTCCACTTGGCTCTCGTGGTTCGGAGGCTTCTAACAAGATGGCACTAAGGCAGAGAGAGAGTTTCTATTACCATGTATAAGTTTTGCATGACCTTGAACTTCCTATAAAGGGCATTTTACAGTATTTACTTTGACGGCAAACAACAACAACGTTTGTTTTTTCTTTCATTTGGCACAGTGTCTTTGAGCTACATCTGTGTTGATGCGTTTAACGATAGTGTGTTCTTTGTTACTGCTATGTGGTATTCCACAGTGTGAATAAACCATCGTTTATGTACTCTCCTGTTGAAGGGCATTGGAGTTCTTGGCTTGAGACATTATGACTAAAGCAGATAATAAGCATTATTTAAGTTTTCTTTGGATAAATGTTTTAATTTCTTTTAAGTACATACCTAGGAGTGGAATGATTAAGATTTTTAAAGAAAGGAGAAACAGTACCAAGTGTTGACAAGGATATTTTCAGTTGCAGCTAATACCTTGATCAGCCTTTAGATTGGTGCGGGCACTTTGGACAAGTGTTTGGCAGTTTATACTAAAGCAAAGCATCTGACCCACCAGCTCCACTAGCAGATATGTAGCAACGGCAAACAGGTGCTTATCGATACAAAAACAGACATGCAGAATATTCTTGGTGTTATATTTCTTTATAGAGTTAATTGATACTTCTATTAATTTTTCCGTTTAACCATTCAGGAGACACTGTTGTGGGCTGTGAATCTTGTGTTCTTCACTAGATGGTGCCCTGACAGTGGGAGCTCCATCTTAAACTCAGAGCCTTTCAGACCGGTTTTCAGTAAATATTTCATGATCGGTTCATCGGTGATCACCAAAGGATAAGAACTGTGATGGTTTCTAAGTGATTTGTGGCTTTTGACTCATCTGCAGGCTGGGCGTCTGACAGAGCAGCTGCCTGAAGGAGTTACTTGTGTTGGTCGCAGTCATCTGCGAGTCCAGAAGGGTTCTTAAGTGCCTCATTGCCAGTGGCTCTGGCCGATGGAAGGTCCTCAGGTTGTTTTGGTTTAAACGCTGGGAAGAGACTTCCCTAGGCTCCTGCAGTGCAGAGATGGCTGTACCCTTAGGCCCTGCGATCACAGAGTGCTGTTGCTGGTGAGCTTACTGGGCATGTCCTCCAGACTCCTGATACCTTTTTATGCCAACTGGTTGAAGGTTTGATACCAAAGCAAACCCACTGCCATCGAGTCATCTCTGACTCATAGCGACCCCTCCTTGGGTTTCCGAGGTGGTATCACTATGAAAGTAGATTGTCCAACCTTCCTTCTGAGGAGGAAGGTGGGTTTGAACCGCCAGCCTTCTGGTTAGCAGTCAAATGCCTTAGGCGAAACTCACTGCCATCAAGTCGATTCCAACCCATAGCGACCTCCTTTGGGTTTCTGTGGTGGTAAATCTTTACAGAAGTAGATTGCCCAGTCTTCCTTCTGCAGAGTGGCTGGTGGGTTTGAACCGCCAACCTTCTGGTTAGCTGTCAAAAGCCTTATGCATTATGCCACCAGAGCTCCCTCATAAACCAAAGTACACAAATTTTTAAAAGTTTTTAATTTCCCTAGGATTAAAGTCCTGGATTTGAAGGTTATCCTGTGGTTGTGTTTATTACATTCGTTTGTTACAGAGTAGTCTGTTGTGTCTGTTTTGATATTTAAGGCCTAATATTTAACACCCATTCTGGACCCAGGACCTAGTGCCATCATGGGCAGTTCAGGGTGTATTCTTCCTTAGATTCAGGAACCCAGGGCTCCATTCATGGTACTTTGACCAAATCATTGCTGACTGTGGTACTTGTGTTTCTTAGAATGGTGAGGTCAGGTGGCCACACAGGTTCTGGATTTCTCAGGGGTCTAGAGGTGTATGTTTATGGGACAGAGGGGTAGGACCATTGAGAGGGGCAAGGTTCTGATTCTGGATTTTAAGCAGTTCAGATTCCTGCCTTCCCCTCCGGGCTAGGGTTGCTGCAGGTCCACCCCTTACACAGGCAGTCGGAGGATGCCGGGGGGCAGGGGGATCAGCAGCACACAGTGAGCCCTGAAGAAGCGTGTTTCTTTCCACCCACCCCTTTCCCCTTGCTCAGGACCTGTCTGCAGAGTGGTCAGACACTTGGTGTTGGGGAATTAGAATCTGCTATAAATTTGAGAATCTGGTGACCACATGGCAATCCAACATTAGTGACCAAGTGGTGATTATTATATGTAATGACTATTATGCAGTCCTCAAAAAAGTATATTTAATGTATGCTTATTATGTATTAGTTTTCATACAACAGTGTCTCCTGAATGGTTCAATAGAAAAATTAATAGAGATATCAATTAACTATAGAAAGAAGTAAACACTAAGAATACTCTGCCTGTCTGTTTTTGTGTCAATAAGCACCTGTTTGTCTTTGCTACATATCTGCTAGTGGAATTGGTGGATCATATGCTTAGCTTTAGTATAAACTGCCAAATACTTTTCCAAAGTGCCTGTTGTTGTTGATGTTACGTGCCATCGAGTTGGACCCGACTCATAGTGACCCCTCCTTGGGTTGCCGAGGTAGTATCACTACAGAAGGAGATTGCCCAACCTTCCTTCCAAGGAGTGGCTGGCTGGTGGTCCAAAGTGTCTATACCAATTTAAATGCTGATCAAGGTATTAGCTGCAACTGAAAATATCCTTGCCAACCCTTGGTATTGTCTTCTTCTAAAGAATAAAATAACTATTTATATAAGATAGACCAGAAGAAGATAATTTATTGAAATGTTACTAGCAGTTAAGTTTGGGTTTGGATTAAGGCGATTTGTGCTGATTTTATGTGTTAATATACTATCTGCACACACTTTGTAGAATGAGTGTGACTGACTTAAATAGTCGCTTTCATTGAGCCTTGGACCAATGTGTACTAGAACTCCTTGGGCCCAGAGGAGATGTTCTGAGTTCTCTGAGCAGCGTTTCTCCTGCCCTAGGACCTGCGTGGCGTTGGATTCCCTGCTCAGCAGACTTCGTCTGAGCTCCATCCTTGGAGCACAGCCCTTCCAGAACCCCTTTCCACCCCACTTTCTGCTGCTTGTCCCATGTGGAAAGCTGTCTCCCTTGTGCATCTCTCCCGTGAACCCTGAGGCAGGGGTTACTCTGGGTGCATATTTGGGACAGGCTTTGAGTTCCGTGCTTCAGAATCTCAGCGTTTGCTCGTTGAATATGCTGTGTGTGTCGGTAGGAGCTCTCACTGAGGCTTCTGCAACTGAAAAGATGAAAAGAGATTTTCAGTCATTTCATTAACCTTTGCTGCTGCTTCCCTTTCAGCTCACGTGTCTGAAACGGCCTCTGGTTGTCATCCATGAGCTGTTTGACAAATCCATCATGGATATTTCCTGGTAAGGTGGATTCTTGTGCTTCATTGGCTAAGAAAGGAGAAGCCACACCTTGGAACAGAGAGGTGTAGATTAGGATCACTTGACAGTGGTCCCTGCCCAGACACACAGCTGGACCAGGTCCCGGGGGCTGTTTGCATATGATCCAGGAGCTGGCAGTTCTGGGCCTGTTTCTGTGAGAATGTTGGCCACGGCATTCCATGCTCTTTGTAGGTTTTGCCACTGGAAAATATCTGGAGTTTGTCTGAGCAAAACGGAATCATGTGGCCCCTGCAGGGTTCCACGGCATTGTCGTTACATTCATCTTACAGCAATGCTGTAGGACAGGATAGAACTGGCCCATAGAGCTTCCAAGGCTGTAACTCTTACGGAAACAGCCACATCTTTCTCCCGTGTAGTGGCTGGAATAGGAGTTGGCTCAACAGCAATGGGTTTAGTTTTTTTTGTTGTTGTTGTTACATTAACCACATTAGCATAGATTTGTGGGCATATTTTCTGCTGCTCAGTGACTTTATTTAGATATATACTTCTTTTTTTGTTGTTGTTGTGATTTGGGTGAAGATATACAGAGCAAATTCACTTTCTATACAGCAGTTCACGGATACTTTGTCTCATGTCATTGACTACAGTTTACCACAATGCAACAGCTCCCCTCCCATTTCCTCCCCATAGTCACCTCTTCCCAGTGTCCATCCCTCCATACTCTCCTATCCCCTGAGCTGTCTCCCTGTGCATAAGCAGCCCTTCCTTCTCCCATGATTGTTCTCTCCAGGGCGTGTGTCTGCTTGAGGTAAATAGATAAATACTTCTTGAAGTTATTTTTGAAATTGTTTCAAAAACAGGATAAGTAAAAATGAAATTCTTATAAAACATGGTGAGAGATACCTTGTGCATGTGATTAAAACTAAAGGATACCCAGGCCCTCTGGAAGATGATTGTCCTACCCTAAGCCATAGAAGGAAACCAGTCGTTTCTGGCATCTACTTAGAGCACTGCCCAACTGCCCTCACTAGGCAGCCACTAAGGCTAGGTGTCTGTCCCAGGTGCTTAGTCCCAGGCTACTGATGATTGTCTCTTCCAGGACTCTGAATGGACTGGGCATCCTGGTGTGCTCCATGGATGGCTCTGTGGCATTCCTAGACTTCTCCCAGGATGAGCTCGGAGACCCGCTGAGTGAGGAGGAGAAGGTAGGAGAAGGCACATGTCCCGGGCACTGCTACGCTCCAGGGCCACGGAAGAAGCCACAGCGGCTCTGAGTAGCCCCTTTGACGTACCCTCTTATTGAAAGATACATTAACACACTGTCCTCTGGAAAGCTATTGGGTGTTTACCTTTTTCAGATCGTAATCCTTATCTTCTTTACTAAATAGGTTAATTTAAAAATGACTCATTCCTGTGGGAAACAAGGTCTGAAATTAAGAATAAAATAACTTTGGGCATATCCTCTTGTGTTGATAATAGGCCACACCCTGGGAGGGTCCCAGGCTTATAATTCTCTGTACTGACTTTGTTGCCATGGAGCAGCAATTGCGATAGTAACATTTATCATTTCTTAGCACTTTCTGTGTGCTAGTTCCTAAGCTGTGCATTTTGTATATATTATCTCATTTAAATCACAAAAGCCTTTCAAGACAGGGCTTGTTACCTCTTTGATCAGTGAGATAACTAAACCTGGAAAAATGTTTAGTCCCTTGGCCAAGACTATGCGGACGACAGAAGCATGAACAGGAAGCCAGGCTGTCTGCCTTTGAGCCAGGCCCTCATCTGTGTTGTGTCAGGCAGTGTGGTCAGTGTGCCCTGCTTCAGGGTCTTCTGGGAAGGCTCTGCTTTGCTTACCATAGACTTAGAACCCTGCTGTTCTTGTAAAAGAGACTTTGCCAACTTCTCAAGTGCAATCTGTGAATGCCCAGTGCAGGCTGGCAGCTTTCTGCTCAGTGACGCTAATGCTTATTAACATTCCCTCTTAAGCTACTTGTGGATCCCCTGAGTTGTAAACCCTTCAAGGGCAAGGCTCTGCCTGTTTGCTGCATATTGCACGCCCACACCTACAATAGAGCCTGGCACCCAGTCAGTCATTTTTCACTGAGAAGGAATGACCTTCTCGGTTCCCCTTTCCCAGGTGATGGGCAGGGACACTGTGTTTGAGGAATACTAGGGGAACATTGGCCAAACTGAATTCTGGCGGTGATTCAGGGGATAAGTTTGGAAGAGATAGGGCAGGGGCCAAGGGAAGGCAGTTTCTGGCCACATGTAGGCATATCTGACAGTGCCCGCAGGATCAGGTCCCAGGATACCCCCTGGACCACCTGCCCCACCCAGCAGTGCTCCATGAACCCCATTCCCTGCTCCCAGGCAGAACACCACACTGGTCATTTGCATGTCCTTTGTGAGTCTGCTCTTCACCACACTCTGTGAGTGCCCTTCACTGTGATGTGCGGGGAGTACTGTCCCTGCCCTCGTGGGTTTCCCACGTGGCTTTTGTGGCCAATATGGATTAACGAGACCTAGGAAGATGGGAGGGAGGAGTCCCTGCTGAGGATTGATATATTGGGGTGGGGAGGTGCCAGGTGAGGGTTTCCCACAGGTCTGTGGTACCTAAACTGTTAGAGACACTGTTAGCAACTCCATGGGAACATACCACCATGTGGGGCTGATGTCTGAAGATAAGAGCAATGAAAAACAGACCCTTGGTTTCAATATTTGATTTCCAGAGAGTATCTGGGGTTCTTGAAGTGATTTAGGAGCCTGAAGTTAGCGATGGGAGCATCACAGTCCCCCAGCAGATGTTTATTTCCATTTGTTCTGTGTTAGGCCATGTGGTAGGTCATCTCTTAGCAGGTAGGTCTCTTAGCAGTCACCTCATTCACTTTCACCCCCACCTATAGAAACACACATGGTATAAACACCTTGGAGAGGAACAGACTTCTCTAGAGTTACCTCATCAGTAAGAGGCAGAAGACATTGGAGGCAGCAGAGAATGAGTGGAGCTAGGAGAGGCCACACCGGCAGAATCAACGTGTTGCCGCTCACACCTGGCTTGTCATTCCTCTCTGCTTCCTCCAGAGCCGCATTCACCAGTCCACCTACGGAAAGAGCTTGGCCATCATGACTGAGGCCCAGCTCTCCACAGCCGTCATCGAAAACCCTGAGATGCTCAAATACCAGCGCAGGCAGCAGCAGCAGCTGGGTCCAAAGGGTGCCTCAGTCAGAGAGGCAGGCTCCGCTGCCCCAGTCGCGGTCAACGGGGAGAGTCTGGAGGACATCAGGAAGGTGAGGGCTTGGCCAGGGGCACTAAAGACACGGCCTGCCCAGGCACAGAGAGGGGGAGGGAAACGGGGAGGCAGTGTGTGGCAGACGTGGTCAGGGTAGGGTGTGGCGCAGTGGGTGATGAGGCGCTTCTGGGCCGAGCTTGACACGGGGCCCGGGAGTGAGCTAGCTTGTGGCCAGTTGTCGTCACCTTTGTCCAAAGCTTCCATGTCCTGGCGAGTCCTAGAGTAGGTCATCTCCTGGAGGAATTTCTGAACCTCACCTGCTGGCCTTTCTAAGAAATTCTGTGTTGAGAAGAGTGAACTCCAGGCTCTTCACCTATGTTGGACCTTGGGCTTCTCTGGAAGCACATGCTTCTTGAAGGGGTGAGGTCTCTCCAAGAGCTTGTGTAGGTTGCTAAACCTCTCCCAGGTGATTCGGACATGGTATGTGTTTTGAGAACGCTTGCTTATAAGCCTTCGGTGGAGAAAAGTACTCTGACTAAAGACAATTTGCAAATCACTGGTTTAGAGATTAAAGTATGACTCAAGTACAGTTCTCGTTCTTGAGGTATCCCCATTCAAGCCCATTGCTGTTGGGCAGGGGCCCTCTGCTCTGGGAACATGGCTGGGCCAGAGCTACTGATGACAGAAATGGAGTTGCTGGAGCCGTTCAACTGGGAACTTCCCGATACAGGAAGCTGAGCTCGTACCCTTATGAAAAATGCTGCATCTTTGATAGGGTGGCTTAGTTTAATTGTCCCAGAAAGGCCAAGGAAGGGAAATTAGAATACATTTCCTTAGAAATTGTTGATACTTACTAAGAGTTAGCAGAAAACTTCCATTCATTTATGTCACTCTACCTTGCCAGAATCTTTTAAAGAAACAAGTTGAGACTCGGACGGCGGATGGTCGGAGGAGGATCACGCCTCTCTGCATAGCACAGCTGGACACTGGGTATCACCGAGCTTTCTGTGGCCTTGTCTGGGGAGGTCTTCCTGTCCCCTTTCACCACTTAGCACTTTCAGATGCAAGGTCTCTGCAGGTTCTTGGGCCCTTCTGACCCGTAGAATATGAAAGTGAGGTTGTACCAACCTCAAACCCCCATGCTTCTCCCAGTGCTTTTACACACACTTCACGCACATGCCCTTCACGTGTGCTGCAGGGCCGATAGAGGATCCCCGAGGCCAGGCTGAAAGCTGACGGGCATCTTCTCGGGTCATTGTCCTCCGTGCTCTAGCTGTGCTTGCTTGTGAGAGTGTCGGAAGACACGCTAGGTAAAGAGGTCAGACTTTTTTTTCCTTCTGTAACTTTTTTCTGATTATAAAGGTAACATATACACATTGTTGAAATTATAGAAAATAGTAAAAGCAAAAGAAGAACATAAACATTACCAGTTTTTCAAATATAATCACTGTTAAGTGTTACTTCCAGTCTTTTTTCTGTGAATATTTGTGTGTGTGTTTAAGTATAAAATAGGGTTATACCTGATGTATTGTAACCTGCTCCCCCCCATTTATTGTATCTTGACCTTTTACCCATTTTAATAAATAGTCCTCTGAAGCATTGACTTGCTGATTATCTAGATTCCCATCCTGTGGATGCACTGTGGTTTATTTAATAGCCCCTTAACTGTGGACTTAAAGTTTGTGTCCAGGTTTTCATATTGTAATTGAATCTTGGAGCACACCTGTGCTTTCCCTCGGGATAGTTCCTAGATGGGAGTTGCTAGACGTAGTGTAGGGTTCCGAGACACATTCCCACTGGGAGTGAGGGGCAGGGAGTGGAGAGAGGGCAGTGTACACATTCACCATTTGCAGTTGTCAACATCTGTAGTCAAGCTTTTGTGTTGTTCTTCAAAATGAGGTATGTTGATTCAAAGTGAATAGGGCCCTGTGTGAAAGGAGAAATAGATGCCCACTATCAAAATCTTTCATGCTGGGTATAATAGTCATTCAGCTGACCTGCTCAGGGTATCCAGGGTGCTTTGTAAAGACCACATAAGTCCTCTGCACCGTGGATTTTTTATCCATGAGTTTTTCTGAATCATCTTAAAGTCTGATGGGACATCTAGTCATATCTTTTGCCAGTCAGACCACTTCATTTTAGGTGAGTGGAAACAGGTCTAGGAGGGCAGAGATCTGACCAGGTGAAGCTAGAACCAGGTCTCCTGACTCCTTACTCCTTTGACAACAATGATTTTCTTTTAATCAAGCCTTTGTTCTCTTAGGATCCTACAGGGGTAATGCTACTTGCTTACCCTTTATTAGAATCAAATGAGACTTGTTAGATGAATGTGTTTTGAATACTGCTGGGCCTGAGGGAACAAAGGTATGAAGTGGGAGTGGTGGCACACCTCACTTTGTGAGGAGACAGAGGAAGAAGCTGGCTTCCTACTTGCCCTTGAGCCAGCTTTCTGCCAATAGGGTACATACTTGTGGCCCTAGAACTTGATTCCTTTGGTCTTACTGGCTTTTTTTGTCTTACGGATTGCCTTGTGAAAACAAGTAGCAACAGAATAGATGTATTGTTAGCTTAGCCAATCAAGAAACCAAAAAGCATAAATATTTCCATAGAAATAACTGGGAAATAACCACAGACAAAGACTAAATCAAAAGAATAAGACTTCCTTGCTGAAGTCTGTACACACAAATTTGAAAATGGATGATTTTTCAAGGAAAATACAGTCACCAAAACTAAGAAAATCATACAGATGAGTTATCATAGAAATAGTAGAGAGCATTGTCAAAGAGTTTAACCCTACCAAGGCCAGCAGGCTAACAGGGCTTCACAGGAGAATCCTCACACATTTTTAAGGAACAGATAACTTTAGTACTACTTAAAATGCTTAAAAAGAAAGGTTACAAATTCTGTTTATGAAATGAATATAATATTTATATCAAAGCATGATAACGTTTGAACATAATAGATTCCAGATCAGTCTCACTTCTGAGTATCAATCTAAAAATTCCAAAAAAAAAAAAAAAAACAGTAGCAAATAGAACCTCTTAGCACAATAACATACTAGTATACCATGATCAAGTAAGGTTTATTTCATGAAAGCAAGGAGATTCAAATTGTGAAAATTATTTTATATGTTAGTAGATCAAAAGAAATATTTAATTATTTCCATAGATGCTCAAAGCCATCTTGATAAAATTCAACATTATTTTTGATTTAAAACTGAATGAACCTGAATGGGAGGCTGTGGCTATCCAATTTCAAATTACATTCAGGAACTAAATAAATGTCTGCTCTCATGGCTATAATTTAACAATGTTTTAGAGCTTCTAGCCCATGCAGTTAATCAAAGGAAAGAATAAAAGTATAAAAACTGTAGAAAGCATCAGTGTAGGAAAATTGGAAGTTGTCAAAAATGAAATGGAACACTTGGAGATCAATATCCTAGGCATTAGAAGGCTGAAATGACTGTATTGGCTATTTTGAATTGGACAAACATACAGTCTACCATGCCAAGAATGACAGGTTAAAGAGGAACAGCATCGCACTCATTGTCAAAAAGAACTTTTCAAGATCTATCCTGAAGCAAAATGCTGTCAGTGACAGGGTAATATCCATATACCTACAATGGAGACCAGGTAATATGCCTATTGTTCAAATTTATACACCAACCACTAAAGTCAAAGAAGAAGAAATTGAAGATTTTTACCAACTTCTGCATTCTGAAATTGATGAAACATGCAATCAAGATGCATCGATATTACTTGTGAACACAAAAGATAGAAACAAAGAAGGATTCAAAGTTGGAAAATATGGTTAGTGATAGAAACAGTGCCGGAGATTGCAGGATAATATTTTGCAAGACTCACAACCTATTAATTGGAAATGCCTTTGTTCAACAACATAAACAGCAACTATCCATGGACCTTGCCGTATGGAATATATAGGAATCCAAAGTGACTGTATTTGTGGAAATACACAATGGAGAAGCTCGATATCATTAGTCAAAACAAAGCCAGGGGTTCATTGTGAAATAGACCATCGATTGTAAGTTCAAGCTGAAGCTGGAGAAAATGAAAGTAATTCCACGAGAGACAAAGTATGACCTTGATTATATCCCACCTGAATTTAGAGACCAGCTCAAGAATAAATTTGATGCATTGAACACTAATGACTGAATACCAGACAAGTTGTAGAATGACATCAAAGACATCATACATGAAGAAAACAAAAGGACATTAAAAAAGGGAGAAAGACGACCAAAATGAATGTCTGAAGACCCTGAAACTTGCTCTTGAAGTGAAAATGAATGGAAGAAGTGATGAAGTAAAAGAGCTGAACAAGCAATTTCAAATGGTGGGTTGAGAAAAAAAAGTTAGAATGAAATGTGCAAAGAGCTGGAGTTAGAAAACCAAAAGGGAAGAACACACTTAGCATTTCTCAAGCTGAAAGAACTGAAGAAAAAAATCAAGTTTTGAGTTGCAGTATGGAAGGATTCTACAGGCAAAATATTGAATGATGCTGGAAGCATCAAAAGAAGATAGGAGGAATACACAGAGTCACTGTACCAATAAAAATTGGTTAACATTCAACTATTTCTTGAGGTAGCATATGATGGAGAACCAATGGTATTGAAGAAGTAACCCAAGCTGTGCTGAAGGTATTGGTGAAAAACAAGGCTTCAGGGATTGATGGAATACTCATTGAGACATTTCAACAAACAGATGCAATCTGTAAGCATGCACCCATCTATGCCAAGAAATTTGGAAGACAGCTGTCAGGCTAGCTGACTGGAGGAGATCCATATTTGTGCCCATTCCAACAGAATGCAGAAATTACTGAACAGTATCATTAATATCACAACAGGTAAAATATTGTTGAAGATAATTAAAGATAGTTGCAGCAGTACATGAATAGGAAACTGCCAGAAATTCAAGCCAGATTCAGAAGAGGACATGGAACGAGAGATAACGTTGCTGATGTCAGACGGATATTGGCTGAAAGTGGAGAATACCAAACCTGTGTTTTATTTATTATGCAAAGGTATTCAACTGTGTGGATCATAAAAAATTATGGATACGTTGCAAAGAATGGGAATTCTAGAACACTTCATTTTAATTGTGTGGAACCCATACATGGACCAAGAGGCAGTTTTTTGAACAGAACGAAGGGGATACTGCATGGTTTAAAATCAGGAAAGGTTTGTTCACAGTTGTAGCCTTTCACTAATTATTCAATCTGTGTACTGGACAGATAATCCGAGAGTCTGGATTATAAGAAAAGGAGTGGGGCATCAGCGTTGGAGGAAGACTCGTTAACCTGTGATATGCTGGTAACACAACCTTGCTTGCTGATAGTGAAGAGCTCTTCCTGAAGATCAAAGACTATAGCCTTCAGTATGGATTACACCTCAACATAAAGAAAACAAAAATCCTCACAACTAGACCAATAAGTAATATCATGATAAGTGGAAAAAACATTGAAGTTGTCAAGAATTTAAGTTTACTTGGATCCACGATCAACATCTATGGAAGCTGTTGTTGTTACGTGCTGTTGAGTCAGACCCAACTCACAGTGACCCGTCCTTGGATTTCTGAGGCAGTATCACTATGGAAGTAAATTGCCCAGCCTTCCTTCCGAGGAGTGGCTGGTGGGTTTGAACCCAGCCTTCTGGTTAGCAGTCAGGTGCCTTAGGCACTATGCTACAGCAGTCAAGAAATCAAACAATGCATTACATTTGGCAAATCATCTGGAAAAGACCTCTTTTTAAAGTGTTAAAAAGCAAAGATGTCATGGAAGACTAAGGTGCACTTGACTCAAGCCATGGTATATTCAGTCACCTCAGCTGCGTGTAAAAGCTGGACAATGGATAAGGAAAATTGAAGAATTGATGCCTTTCAGTTTTGGTGTTGGCAAAGAATAATGAATATACCATGGACCACCAGAAGAATGAACGAATCTGTGTTGGAAGAAATACAGCTAGAATGTGCCTTAGAAGGGAGAATGGGGAGACTTCTTTTTAGGGACTTCGGACATGTTACCTGGAAGGACCAGTCCCTGGAGAAGGACATGATGCTTAGTGAAATAGAGGGTCAGAGAAAAGGGGGAAGCCGCTCAATAAGATGGGTTGACACAGTGGCTGCAACAGTGGGCTCAAACATAGCAACAATTGTGTGGATGGCACAAGCCCAGGTAGTGTTTCAGTCTGTTGCACGTAGGGTCAAGATGGGTTGGAACCACCTGGACGTCACCTAACAAGAACAGAGTTTCTAGCCCTTGCAATTAATCAAGAGAAAGAACAAAAGTATAAACAGTAGATGGAAGGTGATAAAATATCATTATTTAAATATATTATTTACAAGAGAATCCATAGACAATAAAGGTTTTATTAGACAATAGAAGAAGATGATAAGGTAGCTGGATCCAAGCGACTTAATGAGATCAAGTAGCACCATGTACTAGTTTCAAAATACAAAAAAATAAAGCATATTTAGTAGTGAAATACCTAGAATGTTACAAAAAAATATGGACTATCTTTATGAACAAAAATTTTGAAACCCTACTGGGGACCTTAAAAGAAAACAAAAAGAAATTACAAAATGCTAGAATGATCCAATGTCAAAAGTGCTAGAATGATCCAATGTCATAAAGGTATCAGTTCCCCCGTGATGTATCCATTCAACATGAACCAATGCAAATAACCACAGGAAATTTTAGAATAAGACAAGCTGATTCTAAAGTTCACGTGGAAAAACAATTGAGTAGCCAAAAAATTTCTGGAAAACGATTTATCAAAGAAGACTAGCCTCCCCAGTAATTAAAACTTATAAGTTATAGTAATTAAAACCTTGAGGTACTGACACTTGGACAGAGCAATGGAATGTAATAGAAAATATACCCCAATATTTAGATCTTTCTTTACCAGTAGCAGCTGCCATGACCCCACGTGCGTCAAGCGTCGAACGGTGCACCACAGGATTTTCAGTGGCTCATCTTTTGACGTAGATCCCTGGGCCTTTCTTCTGTGGTCCCTTAGGGTGGACTTGAATCTCCAACATTGCAGTTAACGGCCAAGTTCATGAACTCTGCCACCCTGCTTTACACCTTACAGTTAAATTCATTCTTAATGATTCAGATTTTTTCTATATTTAAAGTTTTTATAATTCATAGAAGATCCCATGTAAGAATCTTTTCAAACTTGGATTGAAAAGTCTTTTTTACAAATGACACATCATTTAGACTACTTAAAAGTAACGTTTTGGCAAGGAAAAATACACCATTGACAGTGAAACCACAGTAATCTCAAGAAAGTGTTTCCTACTCAGGACTGGTTTTCTTAATAGGTAACCAAAGCAAGTTAAACCCACTGTCAAGTCGATTCCTTCTCATAGTGACCATACGGCATAGAGTAGACTTTCCCCATAGGGTTTCTAAGGCTGTCACTCATGACAGAAGCAGACCACCTCGTTTTTCTCATGTGGAGTGGCTGGTGGGTTTGAAGCAGCAACCTTTGGTTAGCAGCCAAGTGCCTTAACCGCTGTACCACCTGAACTCCTAATAGTTAAGAGTCTTGCAAATCAATCAAACAGTAAAGACCAATAACCAAATAGAACAATAGATGAAGGATAGGAACAGACAATGCACACCAAAAAAGAAAATCAGATGTTTTTATATGGAAAAAATGTTCAGTCTCAACACACCAAAACAATTGCAAGTTAAAACCCTAATAAGGTAACAATCTTTTACCTTAGATTGGTTGACAGACATCAAGAAATTTGATCAAACTTGTTGAAGGTATGAGGAAGTAGGCACTATAGTATGTGGCTTGTAAATTGGTTAACCTCTAAGGAGGGTATTTGAGAAGTGTTAAAAATCATCAGGGAACAGTACATCTGCTGTGGTTCCAGTGGAGCTCTGGTAGCCTAGTGCCTAAGGCACTTGAGTGCTAACCCGAAGGCTGGCGGTTCAAACCCAACAGCCACTCCTTGGAAGGAAGGTTGGGCAATCTACTTTCGTAGTGATGCTGCCTCGGAAACCCAAGGAGGGGTCACTATGAGTCGGTCTGACTCGATGGCACATAATAACAACAACAACATGTGTGAAGTAACAGTGGTGATGATAATTTTTAAAATATCGGGCATGTTTGAGCACCTGTTACAAGTTCTAAGTATATGTCGCTTCAGTTACTTTAGTCCTAACAGCGACGGTAGTGCACATAGGGATCTGAGGTAAGGTGCCCGTGGTCACAGAGCTGGCAAGTGGCAGGAGAGTCTCACCTGAGTGGTCTGGCCTGGTGCCCTCAGTCTTAACTCTGCATTAAATTGCCTCCTGTTGCAGCAGCAGCTGTGGTAAGAAAAACTGGAAGACAGCTTGGTCCTTCCTCAGTAGTGGCTAGGTTAGATCAATCATGGTACATCCATACAGTGATAGGCCACACAGTCCTTAATGAATGGGGGCCCTCTTTGTGCTGTGTTTCATTCCTTCTCAGATGTGTTTGAGTTGGAGTCAGCTGGATGGCACACAACAACAAAGACACGTTGGAGATTTTAAGACAGTTGGAATCAGGGTGCATCTTAGAGACAGTGGCATCTGACAGTTATAATTGGTCGCAGTTTTTTTTTTTTTCCAGTGATACCTAAAGTACTAGTGCATCTTATAATCAATGGTATCTTACATTCAAGCAAATACAGTGTATTGAGTGATTTTAATTTTCTTTGTTCTATTCTGTAACTTTCTAGATTTTCTGCCATAAACCTATATTCCCTTTGTATTCAGGAAAAAAAAAGTTAGAACGTATGAATTACTCGATATGGTTTCTTTTTCTCTTTGGTTTCTTATTTATGAGGTTGACTCTCATTCTTGCTTGATGACAGGGACTTCTCCACGGCATTCTTTAACAGCATCCCACTCTCCGGGTCTTTGGCGGGCACCGTGCTCTCCTCTCATAGCAGTCCGCAGCTACTGCCACTGGATTCCAGTACCCCCAACTCCTTCGGAGCCTCAAAGCCTTCCACAGAGCATATGGCAGCAGCTGGCTCCAAGCCTGTGGGCGAATCTGTCGGTAAAGACAGGTTAGTCCCTGGGGAAAGTTCGGGTTTGGTCACAGGTACAGAGAATTTCATTCTGTTTGTACTTTGTGACCCCGTCAATGATTAAACAGATGCTTGATGTCATATGGAGTTTGTTCTGAAGGGGAGCACTTAGTCAGGTGAGTCTCTAAGGCGTGGAGCCATGAGGACTTCACAAGGAGGGTGTCCTAACTAGCCAGAGCCAAGGTTCTGACGGCAAGATGCATCCCCGGTGCCAAGGTATTTGGATCGCGAAAGCTGTTGGTGAGATGTCACCTCTACAGGCTTACAGTTTCTGGGGCTTCGGCCTCCACTGTGCTCTACTGGGCACATCTCCACACTCACTCATCCCAGCCAAGTAATCGTGTGCTAGGGCTCAGACACCTCATCACCCAAAGAGCCTGTGTCAGCACTGACTGTTACCTGGAAGCTAAAAGTCACAAAGCACCAGGTAAACGTGAATAAGAGCCAGGAGCTTTTCATTCATCAGCAAATACTTGCCCAGAAGTGGCTCTGGATTCCTCACTATGCTAGGGCCCAGGAACCCACAGGTGACTGGTGCTTGTCCTCAGGGAATATGCAGGCTGCTAGGAGAAGAGGCAGCCACAGAGTTTCAGAAATAGCTCTTAGGATCCCTTGGGAAGAGATGGCTAGCCATCCCAGGAGAGTTGGTGGCCAGGTCTCAGGACACTTTCTCATAGGGAGGGTTCCCACTTAGGGGCCATACGAGCCAACCAGGGGCAGGCAGTGCAGAGAAGGAGCAGGGACGGTAGCAAGAGTAGCGCCCCTAAGGAGTGGCAGCAAAGGGGAGAAAGGCTGGGCTTCTGTGTTGAACCGTCTTTTCCCTGGAACCATAGAGAGACGCATATGCCTTTGGGCATTGCACTATAGTAAGATCACTCCAGCATGGCAAAAAAAAAAAATAACTCACTGCTATGAGTCGATTCCGACTCATAGCAACCCCCCTTTGGGTTTCCAAGGTGGTAAATCTTCATGGAAGTAGTCACCCAGTCTTCCTTCCACGGAGTGGCTGGTGGGTTTGAACCGCCAGCCTTCTGGTTAGCAGTCAGATGCCTTAGGCACAAATCTAGCCATTGCCTTAGACCCTACTGATACTGTCAGTGTGCGTCTCCATTGGTGAAGATGGAGTCTTGTACTATTACAGCCTCCTACTTAGGGGTTCTGGTTTAATGACTGTGAAGGCATGCACCAAGGGTCAAGTGTCACTGCCCTAAGGGGAGTGTAAGGGTGGATTGAAAGAGAAGACAGAGTTAGGAAGCAGACCATCCAGGGAGGAAGGATGGAGGCATGGGCTTGGTCTAGGTCCTGGAAGGACAGCCATCCTAGATTTGAAAAATGTTTGGGGGATTCACCCTTACATAACTTGGTCATAGGGAAGAAAGGGCTTTCCAGGATGACTACCAGGTAGGTGGATGGAAGTGGGGGTGCATTAGATAGAACAAAGTCAGCAGGATGGCCACCTTTAGACTGAGTATGTGGGACAGGCTTAGACATGGAGGGAAGTGGGCAAGCTCATGCCATATTGACTCAGTGAGAGTTGGGAGGTGCTGCCTGGATGGCAGAGGCTTGGCTGAGCGTGAAGATCAGGGATAAGCAATGGCGTCAGGACTCCAGGTGGGGGCTTTTCTTGTCAGAACCATCGTGGAAGCAGGAAATGCTTGTGGTTGTAGTGGTTTGAGGTGGAGATGTTGTATTCAGGTCGAAGAGATGGGACAGTGTGGTTAAAAAGAAGCCTAATAAGGATCGCTTTCAGGGCCTCATGCTGCTCATAAGTGCTCAAAACAATGCAGGTTTCTAGAACTTTAAAACAGGAAAATGTTAAAAAAAAAAAAAAGAGTCAGGAATAGTAGGTTGTACCTTAAAATTGTGGGAGCTCTGGTAGCATAGTGGCTAAGACACTTGCCCGCTAACCAGACGGCTGACGGTTCAAACCCACCAGCCACTCCCTGGAAGGAAGGTTGGGCAATCCTACTTACGTAGTGATATTGCCTCGGAAACCCAAGGAGGGGTCGCTATGAGTCGGGTTTGACTCAACAGCACATAACAACAACAACAACAACCTTAAAATTGTGTTTATACGAGCCTGATATCCCTGCCCAGTTTGCTTGGCTTTAAGTAAAGCAGATCCCAGCCTTGATATATCTGCTCTCTCAATCCCCCCCACAACCCTCCAGTGTGACTGCTACCTCTACTCCTGATACGTCATCCCCCTCTGTGCTAACCACCCCATCCAAGATCGAACCCATGAAAGCATTTGACTCCCGATTCACGGAGCGGTCCAAAGCCACGTCGGGTGCTTCTGTCTTGACCAGTGTGACACCAACAGCTGTTGAAAGGTAGGTAGTGCCTGCATGGGTCCCAGAGAGATCAGGGGAGATGCAGACGTGGGGCTGGCAGTATAGGCCCACTTTCCCACCAAGGATCCTTCCCTTCTGTCAGAGGAGCCCACTCCAGTCACAGCAGGACACGGGATCAAGACTGTAGGACCCTTGGTGAGCCACAGCTCGAGGCTGCTTAGAGCAGGAAGGTGGCTGGAGGAGCTGTGGCCGAGGGCATGGGACTGGTCAGCAGGGACTGTACTGAGAAGAACGGGGCCCAGGGTGTGCCGAGAAGGGTTGCAAACGAGTGGTTGGAGAGGTAGACAGGTCTGATACTGCACTGTGGAAACTTGGCTTTTGGCTCAGAAACTGACGAGGAGGTGGGGTCTTTATGACATGTGGTAGGCTTCTGAGCCCCTTGCCACTTGTCCGTTCTCTGTACCTGCCCTAGTAGACAGGAGCTAGCC